GAGCCGGCGGGTTGGCCAGGTGGCCAAGAAGGCCAAAGGCATCCTGGCTTGTATCAGGAATAGTGTGGCCAGCAGGAGCAGGGCAGTGATCGTCCCCCTGTACTCGGCACTGGTGAGGCCGCACCTCCAGTACTGTGTTCAGTTTTGGGCCCCTCACTACAAGAAGGACATTGAGTTGCTGTAGCATATCCAGAGAAGAGCAATGAGGCTGATGAAGGGCCTAGAGAGCAAGTCTTGTAAGGAGCGGCTGAGGGAACTGCGATTGTTAAGTCTGGAGAAGAGGAGGCTGAGGGGAGACCTTATTGCTCTCTACAGCTACCTGAAAGGAGGTTGTAGTAAGGTGAGTGTTGGTCTCTTTTTCCAGCTAGTAAGTGAAAGGACAAGAGGAAATGGCCTCAAGTTGTGCCGGGGAGGTTTAGATTGGGTATTAGGACAGATTTCTTCACCAAAAGGGTTGTCAGGCATTGGAACAGGCTGCCCAGGGAAATGGTGGAGTCACCATTTCTGGAGGTGTTCAAAAAATGTGTAGGTATTGCACTTCAGGACATGGTTTAGCAGGCCTGGTGGTGGTGGGTTGATGTTGGAGCTGATGATCCTAGAGGTCTTTTCCAACCTTTACAATTCTGTGATTCTATGATCTGAACTGCCAATGCAGATGTGCCCTGATTTTGCTAACCGAATGGGTAAAGAACAAAAAGTATTATTTTTAACCTTCTCACAAATACCCGATTTTATCGAAAAGTACAAGGTGTTATTTAAAAAGTGTTTATAACTCTTTGCAAGGCTGGATCATTATAATTTGGTTTTGTTATTTTGAGGTACAGAAGCCCATGTATCATGCCTCAGGAGGTGCAGTTGTCTTCACAGCTGTGATGAGATGTGGGAGATTTCTTGGGTCCGTCATAGACTGTGCCCTTGTTCGGTTATGAGATGCCACACAAATGTCGTATGTGGCCATCTGATTCAGACCAGTGCTGACAGGCAGCACAGCATACCTCTGTTCTTGCAGTTAGTAGTCATGCAAGGTCATCGGATTCAAGGTGAAACAGCAATTTCATTACTTTTGGAAGCATTCATAGCAGCTCTGATGCGAACTTTGAGGATACAAATTGGGAAAATCCTAGCTCCGACATATCTTCACCCCGCGTGAGCCGGTGCCAAGGCACTGCTTGGTTCTGAAGAGATGGACCTTTCTGTCAGGCATGAAACGATGCCATAAAATGAAGGAGATTCAGTCACCGACCCAGCAGGTCAACTTCTCTCTTCTTCAGATGATGGCCCTCAAGCTTTATTTTTCTACATCCTTTTTTTAAGCCCACTTTTAACTTCTGCATTTAATTGAGGCTCTAGGTTCTAAAAGTCTCTTGCTAAACCTTGTTTAAAAGTTGATACGCATGTGTTATTTCCTTTAACTCTCCTATCGCTGCCACGCTATCTGCGAGAAACGCGGCTTCCAGCCACCCATCAAGCGTACAAGGTACGACTCCACCTCGAAGCAGAAATAATCTCTTATATTTTCTGCTGTCTTAGGGCACGACCCTTTACCCACCCGCCTGGGCTTCTCCCCCGTGAGGCCGCCAGG